TGCAGTTGTGGTATACCTTTTCATTTTTAGATCACTAATTGAAGCAACTTTTATCACAATGACTTTAAACTTGTTTTCCTTTTCTCCTACACCGTTTACATTCTGATAACTGCTACACTTTATAAATGGTAATGTTCATTTCTCTGTTGTAAGCTGCTCATTCACTGTCGAAACGCTGTATGCATCGAAATTTCGTTTTGTATACACTCTGTGAATACAAGATGACAATAAAGTTTGTCTAAGTCTAACTTGAGATGTTTGAAGATGAGGAACTAGTTTTATAGCCCAACTCTTCTTTAAGCTCCTGCATGATTTCCTTCCTGACCTGCCTGCTGTTTCTTGGTCTCCATGACGCTGTTTCACTGATGCTAATACACATTTATTTGTTCTTTTTTTATTGAAAACTACGTAGGCTATCATTTTACCTTCAGTTATGATTGAATTTGTGTTGTCAAATCTCGCAAAACCCCTACACTGCAAAAAAAAAAAAAAAAAAAACTTAAATGAAGAGTATTTACCCTTAATTTAAGTTGGTAAATAAGATTATTTGCCAATGGAATGAGTATATTTGCTCTTAAAATAAGATAATTAGATAATATGCTCTTGAAATAAGACGATGCAATTGTTTTTTCTTATTTTAAATGTAAATTGTCTTGTTACACCTTTTTTTTCAGTGTCTCACTTACCTCATAGATTCAAGAAAAAAATCCCTCTTTTTTAGAAAAATGACTTATATAGATTAAATTATTTTGCAGTGTATAAACTTCTGCAAAAATATGTGGCTGTTGGCAACTTAAAAAACTCCAGAGTACGAATGCTTTCGGAAATACCTGCTCTCCTCAGCGTGCCTCTAACTTTAAACATGATGAAAATGTCTCTTATTTAACGACTGCCCTGAATTTAGGGTTTCTTGATCTCTCCATAGGTCTCTGATGAAACACACATTATGTTCATCAACACTATACACAACAACTATTCAGACGTCATCACAAGGAACTACATAAACATCACATTTGTGTGCCGCTACCCCATAAACTACATGGTGCAGCAACCTAACAGCGAAAACATGATCCGAGTCGACCTAAGGTTAGTGTTTAAACCTGTTTTTCCCCGACATCTGATTTTTAAATGAAAGCATTTTAAAGGTTTTTCTTCTTGTTTTGTGTGTTTCTGATTCCTCAGAAGCATCATTCTAAGTACTGAGGAGGGGAATTTCTCAGTTTCAATGCTGTTGTACAAAGATGAAGCCTTTGAGGACAGATGGACGACCATGCCTTCTCTCACACTAAATGAAAACGTCTTTGTGAAAGTTTTCATGGTATCTGTGCATCACTGATAAAGATCTTAAAATCACTGTAATACAAGCATTTTATTTAAAGAAATTTCCTCTTTAAGGAAATTTGTTCAATGGAGATAAATATATTAATGATTAATACTGTCAATAAAAAAAGTCTGTCCTTTTTTTTTAATTATATGCTTTACTATAAAGTTGACCTGACATTCTAGGATCTTTAAATTGGAAATTTAAAACTTTCTTTTTTCTCAAACCTGCTAGTTTAACTAAAACCAGATAATACTAAATGTCAGATAATACTAAAATGTAAGCTTCTTGATAACAAAAGTGCCTTTGTTTTGTGTAAAACAAATGGATAAATCGAGGAAAAGTGCCTCATCATTACTGCTAAATTACAGGGAAGATCCATGATGCTGTGGGCCTGTTTCTCCTCTAAATGCACTTAAAAAAACATGAATGAGACATTGTTCTTTTAGCATGATAATGCTTTAAAACATTTAATCAAATCTTTGACCATAAGACCTAAATTTTAGTTAAAACATGTGGGTTCAGTTAAAGAGGAGCCCAGACTCTAGAGCATCTAGAAAGAATAAACAAAGAGGAATTATCAGATATCCCCTTGCTTTATTAACTGTAAAATGTGTAAAAAAAAAAAAAAAAAAACTATGGGGAGATAGTATTAGGGGTAATGCGGTAATCAAGCCACTAATTATTTAGTTTAAACAGTTATATCCTAACATGATTTATCCTCATTAAATGAATGTTTTTATATTGAGTCATTTTATTTTTCGGAAAAATTTTTCAGTGGGAAAATATGGTGCTGTAATTAAAGATTTATTTATTATAGTGTGTTTTAGACAATTTTACCAACAGCAACAATAAATGTTTGTTATTTCGATTTATTTTTACTCAACAGTTTGCAGTTTTTTTACCCAGACTACCCAGGAAAAATGTCCTGTATTTATTTCCTTGCCCATAATGTAAAGAAAATCCAGTTAAGTCAAATAACGATGAAAGTAGGTCATGCATGCTTGGCATTGACAACTATCTTAGGATTATCATCATTATTTTAAACCTGCTAACGTTAAGCAATATACCTTGCGGTTTGATGTCCTAACTAATCTTGGAACACTCCAGTCGTGACTAGACACTCATGTGAGAACGTTGGAACATCATCCCTAGTCTGTTATTGCCCCTTGGACCAGCTGTTGTTTACGTGTAATGACTCATCATTTCACAACACATCATGAAACGTGTTTTGGCATGCCTTCAGGATAGCTTGATTGTCACTCGACCTTCCCTTTTTCAAAGATACCAGCTCATCTGATGCTGCGTTTGGAGAGATGCTGGGCCACGCCCACCAGCGATCCTTATGGCAACATCCAGTACACCTTCATCAGAGACAGGTAGTTACCATAATCATGGAACATTTCTTAACATTTTCATCTCAACTTGCTTTTCTACAGCTGTAAACATTTGAGCAAGACAGAGTCATTAAATGAGAAGCTGGTTTGAGTTACACTCTATTTCAGTGTTATTGCAGCAACAAGCTCTAAGTCGTCTTACAGCAGTGCTGTTGAAATCTGAAATAAGAGAATTTGTTGCCTAGAGATCTGGCCAGACAACAAATCTCAAAGCCAGGTCATGTGACTCCAGTCTGAGAGGCCACATGCGTTTCAGTTCAACAGCTGTGCATGTCCTTGACAACCGGGTAGTATTTGCTGCTGTTAGTGACAGCGAAGCTGTGAGCCACAGTGGATTTCACAATGCCAGAGAAAGAAGAAGGATATTAGCTGATGACATCCAGTAATGATAAAAGCTTAAATAGATCAACTTCAATGAAAAATTCAGAATTGATGAGGTTCTATAAAGCAGATAATATCTTACCTACCTGTCTTACTGTCATCATGGATCTAAATCCAGATTAGCAGGACTCTGAGGCTTGAGTTTAACAGTTTATATGACAGACTAGTGTCCTAAAAAACAACAACTTGAAGCTTAACCCCTAGAACGCTACGGACCCACCGGTGGGTCCAGCTGCTACGTGACCTCGTAATTTTAACAAACCCCCAGTATTGATGTAAAAAACACATTTGGCACAGTTTGGTGACATTTATGGATAAATGTGCCAAAATGGCCCCTCCGCCTAAGAAATTTCTCACTAATACCATTCTAAAATAAATATGATTCATCTGATTGAGTCCAAATTTGGTATATTTTTACACAACATTTAGATTTAAAAGTCTGTACTACTTTTTTGTGCTATAAATAATATTTTGGTAGTGTTTTGCAATGTTTATTTCAAAGAAAATTTTGGCGAGGTTCAAAAAATGCAAAATATTTTGTATTTTGTCCCTAATATTTCAGGCAGGGTCAAAGCTACAATGGTGCTGACACCAGAAAACCATTCTATGACATCTTACCTTTACAGACGTACCAAAAGTTTCTTCTTAAATCTAATAGCTGTGAGGCTATAAGTGATTTACTTTTGTGTGTTTTTGTCAGGCAGAAATTTATTTATACCCCCTGAGGGTGTAAGAGGTTAAAACATTAAAGTGGTTAATATGAACATTGTCCGATTTAGATGAGAAATGAAGTTAGAAGTTTGGCCAAATATTCTTCCTGCATCAACAACTACCGTAATGAAAAGAGAACAACATTCAATAATAAACAATAAATAAACAATAAAAGCAGTCAGAGTAATTGTGAGGAAAAAAAAAAAGATTTGTAAAATGCAAATGGAAAAAAAAAAATCACTCAAACCATTGTAGTATTTTTTAGCCTTCTGGTGAACTTTTAAAACATTGGTGACGCATCGTCTCTTATCTCTGTTTTTCTTAGAAATAATCAGAAATCTTTATATAAATATTCTCCCAACTCAAATGTAATGATTTTACAGTTGAACTTAGCCATTAGCTTTAGCCTCAGTGACTAGTTCATCTAGATTTATACAGCATTAAGACACCAAGAGATTTATCTACCTCAGGACTGGTGACTGGTGTTTATGATGCTTTAAAATAAACATATTTAAAACCTTCTTAACTATCCAGTTTTAGCTCCAATCGTTTCTTTTTTTTTTTTTTTACACCTTCTCAGTTGTCCAGTGCTGGCCAACAAGCAGACTCTCAGTGTCCTGAAGAACGGTGAGGGTCCAGAGGCCATGTTCAGGATCCAAATGTTCAAGTTTGTTGGCAGCTCTTACACTTATGTCTTCCTGCACTGCAACGTCCAGATCTGCCACAGCAGCCCGAATGTGTGCAAACCTGTGAGTGAGTCCAGTTACACACACACAGCCCAGGGTGACAGTCAGCCAGCTCAGACGAGTGCTCTGCTAAATGTAATATAGACTCATCAAGCCTGACACTTTAGCACTCCTTATTTCAAATCCACTGACTTGTGAAACCAGTAAACTACACAGCTACTAAATAGATTTACATACAACATACTGTATGTATATATATTTATACACACTTATATGCATATATATATATAGTATCTAAAGGAAAAGAAAGGGAAGAAAACGTTTGCATAAATTTTATTAGGAAGAACTGTATTAAAGCTGTAAGAATATGTCTTTCCTTAAACGAGACACAATTTGTGTAACCGGTTGTTTGTCATCCACCATGCTAACTAACACCTCTTCAGCTATGACTTCCCAGCTGTCATATATTTATCATTATCAAGCGGGCTTGTTTCTCTATGGAGAATGGGTAATATGTACATTTAGCGCCAAAATGCATTCAACTCTTGGAAATAAAACCCTTCCTAAATATATTTATGGCCAGATATCCCCACCGTGTGCTTATATTGGCACACAAATGTTTAAATGGGCAAATTAAGGCATCTGGAAATGGTGTCTATAAATAAATCATAAAAGGAATCATATTTGTGGATATCAACATTTCTCCTCCTGATATTGTGCTTTATTTATTTAGATTTTTCTGTGACATCACACAAGTACGGAAGAGGATTAGGGCCACTGGAAAAAAAAAAAA